TATTTATTTATTTATTATGTATACAATCTTCTGTCTGTGTGCATGTCTGCAGGCCGGAAGAGGGCACCAGACCTCTTTACAGATGGTTGTGAGCCACCATGTCGTTGCCGAGAATTGAACTCAGGATCTTTGGAAGAGCAGGCAATGCTCTTAACCACTGAGCCATGTCTCCAGCCCCAGGGTTTAGCTTTAGTTGAGAATAAAATAGTGACAATCCAATGTGAGGGGAGCGACCTAAGTCAGCTACCTCACAACCTCCCCGAGACACCTCTCCCGGGGTCGCCAAGGCGCCTGGCGCACGCGCACCAGAGCACCTTACGCGTGCCAAGCTGGCAGCCACGAGGCAAGGAGCAGACGAGGAGTTCGCGGGTAATGCCGGGGGCGGAGCCAGAGACGCAGCCTGCGTGAGGGGCGGAGAGAGAGTGGCTGGAGCTCCGAGTGTGGGCGGGGCGCGGGCGGAGCTTGTTGCCACGCGCTGCCCGTCAGCAGTTGGTCTCCCAGAGGCGTCGACAGTTTCTCTCAGGTCTTCTCAGGGCCCCCTTCCTGTCGATCCTCGGGTGGCCATGGGGGACCTTGACAATCAGGACATCTTGGCCATCTTCAACCGCCTCCGCTCGGTGCTTATTAGCCAGGTAGCGGCCGCCTTGCGAGCTCGGGACCGCGCAGCGGGCGTGGGAGGCGGAGCCGGCCAGTTGTTAAACGGCCGAGTTCGCCCGCGCGGGGATCGAAGTGACTTCGCTCGCCCACGCCTGTGAGCAACCCTCGGTCGTGCTCCGGTAGACGTCCGGTCCGCTCACTGCTCTAGCCGAGTTTGGTGGCGTCTCCCCAGGAAGAGCTACAGGCACCTCACTTGAGAGGCGCGAGCTGGTCGCGATCCAGTTCCTGGTCACTTGAGCTTCTCACAGGGCTGTCCGAGTGTCTTCAATTCATGGTTATGTAGTAGTGACCCGCTGAAGAGAGAAGTCGGTGCCAGTATTTTTTTTTTTCAAGGTAACGCCTCTCTACTTAGACCCACCTGACCTTGAACTAAATCTTCCTGCCTCTGCCTCCCGAGTGCTGGGACTTTCGGTACGCTGTTTACCATCTTGAAAGTTGTATCCTGACGCTTTTGCCACATTTTACTGGTCACGCCGAGCACCTTGGTAAAAAGTGAGGCAGAAATTGCACAAGAGATAGAGCCACTGCCCGATGGATGGTAAGAGACAGTGTCCCAGAGGGACTACGCTCCTGCTCTGCCCTCATTTCCGTGCTAGGTTCCTAGCTGGATGTTAAGAGGTGAGTAGTGTAGGGTGTGGCTTACAGACCCAAGCTGTCTTTGCTGTGCATACTACATACGCAATAGTGTATTGTTAATACAGTACAGTAATTGTGTTGATAACTCAACCAGGGGCCATGAGTGCAAAGCCAATGTATCAAACATGCTAACCAATTTATAGCTACAATATTAGTTTTTTAAAAATTTATTTTAAATGTATGGGTGCTTTCCTGCATGTATGTCTGTGTGCCTGGTGTCTATGGAGGCCAGAAAAGGGCATCCTATTCTCTGGAATTTGATGTTTGTGACCCACCATGTGGCTACTGAGAACCAAACCTAGGTCTTCTGATAGCAGCCAGTGTTATTAACAGCTGAGCCATCTTCTTCCGCCCCAATATTATTACAAATGTTTAAAGTTCTAAAAAAAAAAAAAATGAGCTGGAGAGATGCCTCAATGGTTAAGAGTAGTAGCTGCTCCAGTTCCCAGCACCCAACATGGCAGTTCACAATCCTTAGTAATTCCAATTATAGGAAACCCCAAACTTCTTCTGGCTTCCATGGGCACCAGGCACACATAGGGTGCCCAGATATACATGCAGGTAAACACTTATACACACAAAATAAAAATTTAGATATCTGAAACCCTAGATGACCCTTTTCTTCTTTTTATATTGTTTTGCAGTACAATTCCTGGCATGGGATATGACTGAACATACTATTTAGCTGTACAAGTAGATGTACAAGAAGAAATGGTACTTATTACAAAGAAAGACAAGGTTTCTTGGTTTTAAGTAAATACAACATAATACATCCTACAAGTGACTGGACTCTTAGGTCTTCGTGATGGAAGACCACCATGATACCATTACTCTCCCAGTAATGAAATGAGGTGCCAATGATGAAACATGGTCACAGTTAGCTCCCTTACAAGATTCCTTCCCAAACATCTGACCAGGACCAAGACTGGACTTTCTCATCTGTGATACTTAATAGTGGAGCGCTTTCCCATATACCTGGTTCTGGTTCTGTTGAGAGGACCTACCTAGGTGACTTTCTTCAGCCCTGCCCGTGCCATAGAAGTTGGACCACATGCCTTTGAAGGCTTCGCAAACCTTTGGAAGTCTTTTTCTGAGCATGCCGTGGTGAGTCATACCTATCGTCTCAGCACTTGGGAGGCTAAGGCAGGAGGACTGTCACAAGTTCAAGGCTAGTTTGGGTGGGCTAAATGAGTTTCAGGTTGGCCTGAGTTACAGAGTTAGACATTATTTCAAACAAAAAGCTTCCTCTTACAGTTTAGCAGTACAGTGTAAAAGAGCTCAGACATGGCCAGGCGGTGGTGACGCACGCCTTTAATCCCAGCACTCGGGAGGCAGAGGCAGGTGGATCTCTGTGAGTTCGAGGCCAGCCTGGTCTACAAGAACTAGTTCCAGGACAGGCTCCAAAACCACAGAGAAACCCTGTCTCGAAAAACAAAACAAAACAAAACCAAACAAAAGACTGTAAATATGTGGTAGGATAAATAGCCATATAACTAAATAGGTTGTTATTAAGAAAGGGTAGCAATTTTGTATATTCTTACTCATTTAAGATTATCAGTCATCCTGTTTTGTCTGAGACTGTGGTCTAAGGATTTTGGAGTGCATGGTCATGTTCTTGTCTCTTTTTATTTATTTATTTATTTTGGTTTTCCCAGACAGGGTTTCTCTGTAGCTTTGGTGTCTGTCCTGGAACTAGCTCATTCCTGGCCTTGAACTCAAAGAGATCCCTCTGCCTCCTGAGTGCTGGGATTAAAGGTGTGCACCACAACTGTCTGGCTTCTTGTCTTTTTTTTAAAATTTGGTAGATTTGGTTGCTGGTGCAAGTTTATTTGTCCCAGTTTTTTTCTTTTTGTGATAAATGTTTATAACACATGGTTTAACAGCTTAATTCTCTTTCAAGTATTTGTTCTCATGCTTCATGCTTATGTGAAAGAGGCCAAAATTCCCTTCATCTGAAGGCTGAGTAAAGTCCCACTGCACGTATCATCTCCTTTCTTTATCCTTTCATCCAGGAATTGGCAATTTGGTTGTTTCCATGATTTAGTAATATTGCTTTGAAAATAGTTGCACAGATATCTAATGTGATGAGATAGGCAAGAGTGGAGTTGCTAGATAGGAATGTCTGCTTGTTTTTGTCAGTGCTGTTTGGGTCACAGTTTCAGTGTATTTTATCAATAGTCACTTGATCTACTTGGGCAGTACTATCATAGTGGCAAGGAGAGTGTGATAGAAGCTTTTTTTTAACCCTTTTTGACAGAGGGGACATAAAGGGAATGGGCACTGGCCTAACTTTATGTGCATTGTCCCATAACATAGTACTGTCCACAGTCAGGGTCAATCTTTGTATTTGCCTTGGAGCTTTCAGGAACCTTTCTCTTCTTGGCTCAATCAGAAGGGTCAGCCCCAAAGGCCGCTGTGCCAGGGACCAGTTTCTGTTTGAAACCTGGGTGTTTGGATGTAGAGCAGAGAAATTTGGGTGCCATGTAGATGGTGACCTGCAGGTTATTTAGGGACAGAAGCATCGCTCTAGTTCACTTGATGGCCACAGGGACAGAGCAGGATTGCATTGGCTGATTTGGCACCAGAGATGAAGTGGACACACTCTGAAAGCCAGCATGGCAGTGCCACAGAGTGCTTTTACTGCTTCCAAATTATTCATCAGCCATTAGAACTTGCATATTATGAATTATGAAAGAGTGCTGTTTCTGTTAAGCAAGGGGACATATTTTATAGTGGATTCCATTATTTCCTGATTATAAATGATGCATTGTTATAATACCACATTCAGAATAATGAAACTGGACTGTTCGCTGAGCCCCATGGAGTCCAAATGGCCTTTGGTGGGGGGCGTGACTGGTGACAAGATAGCGTGCTAGCTGCTAGAGGCTGTTCCTGGGGACCTGTAGCAATGTGTTCAGAGGGGAGGAAGGTGCAGTGTGAGGACCAGTGTGAAGGAAAAGCTCCTGAAAAAAATGGACCCAGAAATCAAAGCCCACGCTGGGTGAAGGTCAGCGATGGGGAGAGCTGCTGAGTCCTGGCATGGGCCTGATGGCTGCGCACGCTGCCTGTGAGTGACTAGGTATCCCCTATGCTGGCCCACTAATATCCTGGCCCCACCTGCCTCTCTGCACACTGATGACCATCTGCCAGCCACTCTGGGTGTGAAGTGAGTGCTGGAAAGCAGGGTACAGGAGTCACTTCAGCCTGCAGTTCTTGCTTCCTGGTCCTGCAGCTCACATCTGTCTGCAGAGCCTGTGCTTTTCACAGTAGTCTAGGTGTCTTGCCTGCTGTCCTTCTTCCAGTAGGAATTGGCACTGTCATCCCAGGTACAAAAGGAACTGCCTCTTATCTCCTACAGGGTGCCAGAGCATACAAAGGCTCTTGTGGATGAGTGAAGAGTTGGGAAGACTCATGTGTGGACTACTCAGGGCACCTATACAATGTGGTATTCTCTCTAGGGTAGTTGAAAGGATCCTAATGCTCCCTACATTCCAGGATAAGCTCTTAACTCATACAAGTGAAGAATGTTTGTTCCTTGGAGTGGATGCTAAATTTACACACTTCGGTGTGAGAACAGTCTTAAAGACCCCGGAGGTTCCAGCCCCCCTACTCCACCCCCTATTAGTGTTGGTACCTCCTCTGTGCCCTTCAGGGGCCTACCAGCTTCTCAGACTTTTGCCTCTCGCTGAGAAGGTCTATGGGGTCCTGAACCCAAAACAACTTCTGTGTACCAGTTTGTAAGCCTCATAAACAGGGACAGGAGCTATGCCCTGTTACCCCCTATCTTAGTTCTGACCCCTAGAACACACTTACTGAGTAACTTGTATAATTGCCAGTGAATTGGTCTTAGTCCTTTCCTGGGCCCTTAAAGAAAAGCCCTGATACATGTGGAAGTCAGCAACTACTCGGTCCTTTGGAACCCTTCTCTGATTTTACTTCTATTTCCTCGGGTTGTTCTGTTCTTTGAACAATAATTCTTGTCTCTGTTCTTCAGTTAGATCCAGAGCCTAGGTGCTGATCCATTCAACTGCAAAGGAGTATTTGGTGGGTTTCTAGCTAAAAGCCAGAGATACTTCAAATACCACATCTTCTTACTTGGGTGGATGGGAATAATGTAACAGACATGTTCTTAATGTCCTTCTTGCCACAGAAGACGTGGCCACATTTAGCTGTTCTGTTTTCTCTCCATGCTTCTTGTGAAATCCCCTATTTGCTACAGACATTGGGCTTATCTGCCTCTATTTATTGATTTTTTTTTTTTTTTTTTTTTTTTTAGCCAGGAAAAGAATGTCTTTGTTCTTAGCACCTCTACCATGATCCTGGCCCATCTGGTTCCTGACCTAGTTCTTCCAGGTTTGGTATGGTTCTTGTCTGTCTTTGGCTCTCTGCCCTTCTGATCTTGCACATCCATCTTCTTGTGACCCTTTATAACATGGAGCTTGGTGCTTCCTGTGAACTTCCAGTCTTTTCAGTTGCATTCTTTCCTATCGCCCTTCCTTGCCTAAACCCTCAGCTGTGGGCTCTGTCTTTCTCCTCAGATCCCTGTGAAATCCATCTTCTTCTGGAGACACATCCATCCCCCTGGGCTCTTTTTCCATCACAGACTGTCATGGTACCACCATCACCATTCATGAACATCTCTCTTGCCTCCATCCTATCCTGGCTAACAGTGCTACAACTTCTTGGGGAATCTTTTTCCCTTATCACACAGGATGGAGTGCTGGCATTGAGTGCAATTCTCTAAGTGATACTTTCCTTTAATGATGCTCAGCTCACAAGGAGAAAACCAACCCAGAGGCCCAGCATCTCTTCAAGGGTACTTTTGGACCACACTGCAAGAGTTCTGGAGAAGGGTCCAGTCATCCATGGTCTGTAGCTTTGTATCAACTCCAGAAAGTCAGTGAGTGGCATTTACGTGATTCATATTGAACACAGTGACCAGGGAAGAGATTGGCAGCTAGAAGATCCTAGGAGCATCCGTTACAGTGCTAGAAGAAAATGAAGTCTGTGACTTGAGGGGGACCTGTGTTGTGCATATAAGCCAGGTCATGTTCTGATAAGCATTCCGAAGTCTCAGGGGCTCAGCATAAAGCTGTTTTCCCCTGTGTCTAGCAAGTTAGCTTTGGGTGCATGTGACTGTTGCAACCTGTACAGGGGTCATACATCAGATATCCAGCATATCAGATATTTACATTATGATTCATAATAGTAGCAAAATTACAGTTGTGAATAAACAATGAAATAATTTTATGGTTGGGTTCACCACATCATGAGAAACTGTATTAAAGGGTTGCAGCATTAGGAAGGTTGAGAACCACTGGTCTAAAGTTCCCGTCTTCTGTGTAGCACTGCAACTCTTATGATATAGTACTCCCTTTCCTACAGCCCCCAAAGACAAAAATAGGTTGGGTTTAATAGTCACTTCAAAGACCTTGGAGGTGACACCTCATGTCTGTTCCTGTTTATTGGCCACATCATGTGGATGTTATTTATCTCAGTGCATGACTGGGCAGAGGAGACATGTGCCCCACACCCAGAAACAAGACCCAGATTAGGACCTAAAATAAACACCCCATCATCATTTTCCTTCTATTCCTGCAGGTGTGTTGATGACCCCATGAAGACAAGAGGCAGTTCCTTTTGTAGCTGGGATGACAGTGCCGATTCCTACTGGAAGAAGGACAGCAGGCAAGACACCTAGACTACTGTGAAAAGCACAGGCTCTGCAGACAGATGTGAGCTGCAGGACCAGGAAGCCAGAACTGCAGGCTGAAGTGGCTTCTGTACCCTGCTTTCCAGCACTCACTTCACACCCAGAGTGGCTGGCAGAAGGCCATCAGTGTGCAGAGAGGCAGTTGGAGCCAGGATATTAGTGGGCCAGCATAGCACATCTTTTGCTGCCTAGGCTGCAGCCAAGCAGGGGTCAGCAGGAGCCATCAGCTGCTTTGATGCTCTTCCCAGCTTTTGATAAACGGTTTTGTAGCTAAATCAGAGACAGAAAGGCAGCTCTACAAAAGGCAGGGCCCAGCCATCATTCTCACAGCCACAGCAGGCCCTGTAGCCTGCATGATGGTCTCTGCAGTCTACACAAATCTGTTTCCCAGACACAGGAATGCCATTCCCGGGCCGTCACATGTACAGATGCAGACACCATCCTCCAGAACCTGGGACCCACCAACAAATAAGTTTCACACCAAACCAGGTGGCACACTGAGACTTGCCCTGCGTCGGATCCTGGGAGTGCTATGTGGGTAGCAACTGTGCAGTCCCACTGGCTCAGGTCATGTTGAGATAGAAGCCATTAGAGGAGAATGTCAGAATGTCCCCTCCTCCATTGCTCTCAGGAGAGCTGGAGGTTCCCTCCCCAAGTGAAAGGTAGTATGGGAGGAGGGCAGAACTACAAGGCCAAGTCCAGCCTCCTGAAACAAAAACAAGGTCTTGGCTGTACCTGATAGGTCACTTACTATCTACATAGGCAGGTCTTTACTTTTTCTGAGCCTCAATTTCCTTCAGTGCTGAATATCTAGGGATTGAATTGCATTCTCCAAAAACAATGACTGAAGTCTTAACCTTGGGGGGTGACCTTTGCTGAAAACAGGGTCTTTTAGAGGTGAACAACTTAAACAGGTTCAGTAAAGCGGCCCCTTTATAAGGACAGCAGCCCTTATAAAGGAGGAGAAATCTATACTGCATATTCAGGGGAAGATGGCCAGAGGACTGGAGAGAAGTGGGCAGCTGTCTGGAAAGCTGAGGACTGTGGCAGACCCCACAAGCTAGAAGAGGCACTTCTAGCCTTCAGGGGGAGTGTGGCCACACCTTGGTTTTTCACTTGTGTCTTCTAGAACTGAGTGGCGAGCTTCCCTTGTTATCTGCCATGCAGCCCAGATTCTGTTACAGCAGCCCTAGGAGTGACTACATCGTGTATCATCCCTCTCCCAGTGGCCTGGAATAGAGAGACAGGCTGTGCTGATTCAGGCCTTTGCCACAGCCAAATACAAACACAGTGGAAGGTACCTCACACACAGAAGAGCAGGATACAGTCCCAGCCCTGTCTCTTTTCCTGTCCCCTAAAAACTGTGTAGCAGCTCAGTTTTCTCATCAGCTCAGTTCTGCCTACTTTCTAGGATGTCACAGAGACGAAATAACAGCAGAGCGGCCATGACTTCACCATCTTTTTAAAAGAGACAAAGGGGATGTCACTTTCTGCTGACAACAAGCTTTAACTTGACATTCATTTCTCAATGATTCTGCCAGATGGATGAAGGAAGTAGATTTCTATCCCATCATCTGTCCTGCTTTCTGGGTTCTCTTGATGCAGGCACACCATGTCATAAGTCAAACTGGAGTGTCTTTCCATTCTGGCCTCCCCAGGACCTACAGTCACCAAGGATGTCAATGGTCCAGCTGGCAGCAGGGATGAGAAAACGTCTACAAGGGACTGTCCTGGGGGCAGAAGACTTGAGGCCTGGCCAATGCTGTACCAGCCCTAGTGGATTTTCAGAATGCTGGTCCTGGCTGTGGTACCGGAACAGTTTCCCTTGCTGCCCAGACCCATTTTGAGCTGGCAGCATCAAGTCCCCCATGCCTTCCCTGTTTTAAGCCTATCAAGGCTATGCTGTATGCTGGCTCTGCAAACAGGCCCTCTGGGCATCTGTGATGTGGTGTGTAAAGCCCTCTCAGAAGAAGTGCAAGTGCTTCAAACTGCTGGCACTGCTTGAACACCTGCTTCATGTTCTCTGTGTACTTGATGTGGTCTGATTAAGCTCCTTCAGGGCCTTTTCATACTTGTCCTTGGTCTATGTTGAAACTGACACAGAGGTTTGCTTCCATCCCACCTCTGTTTACCCCATGTGCCCCGATGCTTCGCAGGCCTCCCCAGATTCCAGATCCAATCCCTGTGCTTCTCCATGGCAAGTTGCTCTCTCTCTACCTGCTCTGCCTCTTACTGGAGCAAAGCCCAAACAGGTAGATATAGACAGGAGACGGTCACACCAACACTCAGTGTCCTGGGTTCCAAGCATACTTCTATGTTGGTGGCACAGTTGTGAGCATAGCTGCTGCCTTTGTTCATGACATGCTTGTTTCCAGTTTGTCAGTGGAGAGCGCTGTGCTGTCCAATGCTCTCGCCTAGGTCTGGCCCCAGCAGCTGTGGTATGTGAGGCACCTTAGAGACAAGGTCATTGTCTTAAATGCCAAGTGGTCCTCGGTCTCACTTTCATTACTAGAAAATGAGAATACTATCTGTATCAGTATTTTGAGACTTAAATGACTAGTACAAAGGTACATGGATTAGACATTTCTAAAGTCTGTCCATTCAGCTTCTTTTTCAAGGATTTCTGGAGGAAGGCCATTTAGTTAAAAGGATAGATTAAGAGCAATATGGTCCAGCTTAAGCAAGTCTCTGGACAGAATGTGTTAATCCCTAGGATGTGGTGAAAGTGGAAGCCTGACAAGTGTGCTCAGGCTTGGAGACCACACTCGCCCAGGCTTGTGTACTCTCCATACCATGCTAATCTGTTGCTTTTGTGGCTTCAGACAGTTTGTTTGGTGATAGGAGCTTCCTGGGAGTGAGGGGAAGCTGGGTTCTGGGAATACCTATTTATTGAAGAGCTTTCCATATGTGTCTCTAACAACTGAAAGGTGTCCAAGGTTGCATGAGAGAAGTACATGGTGTTCTTCCTAAAGCAGGTACTATGCCGATGCTCAGCACACCTCACCAGCCTGTGATTAACCCTCGGTGTCCATTACTATAAGCATATGGCCACCTCAGTGTTCCATCTGTAGCCTCTCAGGTGGAGGTCCAGTAGAGTCACTCTTCTTCGGCTTCCCTGGAGCCAAAGGAAAAACAGGCTTTTCCTGTTTTATACTCTGTGGTGCACTCTGCTACCTACAAGTAGAAGGAGAGCTAATGGCCACATTGCTCAAAGTGGCCTTCATGTGGAAGACTCCGTTCTCAGATTCTTTTCTGAGGACTCTAGACTTTCTGAAGGCTCTGTGCCTCTTCATTTCCTTGAAACCTCCCCATGGCTGTGTTAAAAGTTGTCATTGCTGTCTTGTGTGTCTGTGTGTGTGTGTGTGTGTACTGTCAAGATGAGGAACAGGTATACACTAGGTAAACTATCACTACAAGGGGTCATCAGAAAAGGACCTCACTTGGTCACTCTTGACTGCTAATTTCTTTTTGATTTATACGATAATACTGCTTTTGAATAGTTTCCTTGCTCCTTAAAAAGCAAAGGACTTCACTCCACGGGTACTTGGCAAGTAATTGTCCACCTGCCAGACACTCTGGGAGTGGGTAACCTGCCCCTTGTTGCTTTACAACATGCTTGTGCTGCATTCCAGACAGCAAGCTTCTGCTTTTGTTACCAAGAGAGACAAGTCAGCAGACTGAGATTATCTGCATCCAACTCCAGGCCAGGTACTGAGAGACCAGCTGGTAGATTAGAGAGTGATGCCAGCTAGCAAAATGCAGAGCTAAGAGTGCCTGACATCTCATGTTGATCTAGGGGAAGGGACAGCTTCCCATAGTTGTTGACACTGAACTTTAAAGCCTTCTGCTTTCATGTCATAAAAGACGATTACTACTTTCTAGTTATTCTCACTTCCTGAGCACCTTTGTTATGCTAGGCACCATGTTTATGGTTCAGCCTCTGAATATTGCCTATTCCCAAGCAAGTTGGAATAGCTGTCCCCATTTCACAGATGAGGAAACTGAAGCTTAGGGCAGTCACTATATCTGCCGGAGACCCGCAGCTCAGTAGCTGGACTGGAGCTGAAAATAGCCATTTGTACAGTTCCTGGTAGAGACAGTCTCAAGAGCAAAACTTGATTATTACCTGCTTTGTCAAGAGCATATTGAGTATTGACTGACTCCCCCCCCCCCCCCACACACACACATTTAAGTTAGGAATTTGTAAAAAATGAAAATGCCAATGGTTAATTTAGGGTGAAAATAAAAATACTCAAAATGTTTCATCCTTTGAGCTGTGGTCTTTATAGGGTACTGGCATTAACACTGAAGGTCCCCCAGGATAAAAAAGGATCTGTTCTCATCTTTTTCCTCCCATGATCTTCACAGTATTAGCCAACACCTTTTTATTCTGTTTGCCTGGCTGGCCATCCAGTACGTCTCTCTGCATTGTTCTTCATCTGTGGCAGCAGTTCAGAGCTGCTGACAAGAGGAAAGCTACACGTTGACATTTTTGATTTTCATCTGCATTGAGCAAAAGTTACCTCAATCAGTTGCTGATAGTTTTGATGACCACAAAGGGATTCTTAGAGGGCCTAAAGAAGACAACCAGTTCTGATGATGGTGCAAATTTGCCTTGTGACTGCCTGAACCTTGGCTTCAATTTTAGTCAATAGACACTTGGCTGTCTACAATGTGTACCTCTACCCACCATAATATAACCTTCTCTGCTTGTCCTGTATTCTTTCTGTCACCTTCTCGTGGCCCCAGTTTAATCTCCCCTTTGGACTGCAGACTGGCCGAGCACTGTAAGGGTCTGTAGGCTTTGTCTTTGTTCTGCTGACTTGTTACTCTATTCCAGTAGACTCTGGCTTCTGAAACTTTGTTTGAGCTAGTCTGGTGATTCATGCCTACAATCCTAGCACTCAGGAGTTGGATGTAGCCAACCTGAGCTACATAGTGAGTTCCAGACCAGCTTGGGCTACAAAGTGATACCCTGTCTCCAAAAATAAGAAAAAGGGAAGGAAGAGATTTTAGGTAGGGCTGCCACTCACACTGCTCTGTGCCTTGTCCCTGTCTGAAGCCTCGGGGCTTGTTTTGTGAGCACCTTTAATTCCAGTTCTCACACCCTGTCTACAGGGCCAGTGCCTAGTACCATTACCATTTCCAGGAGTGCCATGAAAAGCAACTAAAGAATAGGCCTAGGAATCACCCCATGGTTCAAGAAAAAAACACTTCGCAATGCCTGACAACAGTTTTAATGAGGTTAAAAGACCAATTGGCTGGATGTTGGATTAGTCTGCTCTTGAAGGAAGAAGACTCCTTTATCTAATCTTTTACAGAGTTATACCAGGACCCTCATCTGAGAGACTCCTAACTAAGCTCCTACATCTACAGACCCTGTGATCTAGACGGGAAGATAGAAAAGTTTTAGGAAGGACCTCAGACCCTGGTCAGAGGGGGAATAGATAAAAGTCAGTACCTTGTGGCAACCACCTCAGGGTAATTCTAAATTCAAAAATATGCCCCCAAATAAATCTAACAAGAACCAAGGCACCTGACTGAGAGCCAATGCCTATTTAGCCAAAACGAAGGGTACTAGGAAATGGCTGCTTTGTAAAGGGCTGGCCAGGCAGTAGCCCCCACCCAAGTGCAGCCATGTTTAGCCCTTGGGTTAAGGAAGCCCATGAACTTCAATGTCATTATCAGTGGGACATTCTATGACACTTGTGTCCAATTGTTACTGTTATCCCATACATTGTGGTATTAGTGTTTGGGTTTAAAATGTCACCCCAAGCACTGATAGGTGGAAAGCTCCTCAGCTAGTGTGGTACTGTTGAGGAATGATTGGATCCTAAGGTTGTTGACATCAATGAACTAATCTGTTCATTATTTGGTATTTGAATGGACAGACCTTGGGACCTCTTTGCAGAAAGTGGGAAACTGGAGGAGTGCCCTGGAAAGAGTATCTTGTTCCTAACCCAGTATTCTATCATAAGGAAAACACTCTGCCAAGTGTTTCTATGATGTTTAGTTTTGCCTCATACAGTGATGAGCCCAAAGAACCATGGACTGAAGCTATGAGCCAAAATAAGTTTTACGTCTTTACTCATTTCAGTTGTATCCAGCATTTTGACACAACAGTAGATGCTAAAAAATGAAATTGTTGGGGCTGGAGAGATGGCTCAGAGGTACTTTTTTCTGTCTATATGTATGTAAGGGTATATACATCTACATGTATACTGTATGTTTGCATATTGTATTGTGTACATTGTACTAAATTGAATTAGAAATAAACACTTGTTTATCAGAGAAACTGTTGTGAGATAAGCTCACCAGAGACTACCACTTAGACACTCTTGTTCTTTTCAAGACAGGGTTTCTCTGTGTAACCCTGGCTGTCCTGGAAGGAACTCACTCTGTAGGCCAGGCTAGCCTCTAACTCAGATCCACCTGCTTCTCAAGTGCTGGGATTAAAGGCGTGCACCACCACCACCAAGATCACTCAGACACTCCTAAAGCCAAAAAGAAGGTCTTTATTGCTAGCTGGTTGCTGCCTAGGGAACTTGCCTAAATTTTAGTCTTCTATGCATACAAAAAAATATCTCATTATGGTTATCATATTTCAGTTAGCAAGAACTACAGAAGCTAAAATGCAAGGTTAATGAGTGTAGAAATTTTCTTGAAACTATGTACTAGTTCTTGAATGGGTTAGGTCTTTGTTCCCATTTTGGAAGATGTTGGGCCCTATCTGCTAGACTTTAAGGTCAGATTGGTGCCTCTAACATGGCATCAGTTGTGCCAAGTCTGGTGCCTATTAGATAACAATCCCAAATGTTTTGCAAGTTTTGTATAACTTGGAAAAGTTTAGGAGAAGACTGCTTTAATATTGACATGTCTCTGATGTGTCTCTTGATGAACCAAGTACTCAAGTATGTATTTTAACATGTAAAGTGGCGAGTCCGTGCTACTACATGTAATACGGTACTATGCCTGTAGTGTGGCGCCTGCATTATGGGCCTGTTCGCGAGTAGGGCAAGGGCCTGGAGATTTAAACATACATATACACACACAGAGACACAGGTCATCCTTGAAATAAGAATGTCCCCTTTATTGTGCTCAAGGGCAACTTATATAGTGCTCTGGCCATGCCCCAGCTCTTGGGATCTTTCAGCTGCAGCCCACCAGAAACTATTCCCCTGCCATCAGGAACTCCTGAGGGTCTTGTGCTCAGAACAGCTGCAGGCTGCACAGAGCAGAAGAAAAATAGTTGTACAGGAAATGCAGAGTCTTGTGGTCTGCAGTCCCCAACAGTAAAGCTCTTGTGTAAAGAAACAAGGCAGCACTAATGCCTCAGAAATAAGGATAGGTTGTGTGTTTAGGGTGTGGCTCAGTGGTAAAGTGCTGCTGTGGGTGTGTGAGACTCTGGCATGTATACAATTATACATCTGAGTATATAGTTCGATCTATAATACTGAGGAAAAAATGAAATTGTTGGGGCTGGAGAGATGGCTCAGAGGTTAAGAGCATTGCCTGCTCTTCCAAAGGTCCTGAGTTCAATTCCCAGCAACCACATGGTGGCTCACAACCATCTGTAATAAGGTCTGGTGCCCTCTTCTGGCCTGCAGGCATATACACAGATAGAATATTGTACATATAACAAATAAATAAATATTAAAAAAAAGAAAAGAAAAAACATGAAATTGTTGAGTAGGCAAGAGCAATATGGAGAAATTTACAGGTATGATAATCTGTTTAAAAATTTGTATGCATATAGGTGTTTTGCATGCATGTATGTCAGTATACCATGTGTGTGCAATACCCATGGAGGCCAAAAGAGGGTGTTGGATTCCCTTGAGATTATATTTACAAATGGTTGTGAGCTGCCAGGTAGTTGCTGGGAATCAAACCCAGGTCTTCTGGAAGAGCATCCAGTGCTCCTAACTACTGAGCCATTGCTCCAGCTCCATAAGAATCTATTTTTATGAGAACGCTGAAAGGGAGAGAGTATTTATTTATGAATAACAAGGGATTTTGTGGGTTTGGAATGTAGCCCACCAGTTCAGAGCATATACTGTGTTTGGTACCCAGCACCCACATTAGGCAGCTTCCAAATGCCTATAACTCCAGGAGAGGGAATTCCATGCCTTCTGGCCTCTACAGATACTATCCTCATGTACAAAACCACCCAACAGACAAAGTTATGCATCTTTAAGGGGTTGGAGAGATGGCTGGCTCAGTGGTTCAGTTCCCAGTACTCACATGGTGACTCACAGCCAGCTGTGGCTCCAGTTTCAGAGCAGGGGGCATCTGATACCTTCTGATCTCTTAGGGCAACAGACATGATACACGTACATGCAGGCAAAGTAATCATATACAATAATAAATATAAAAACTTGTTTTAAAATGGTAAGCATTGCAGATGGAAATTGTGTAGACCTCTGGTTATCAACACATGGATTATAGAGAGACAATCACTGGCAAATGGGAGAACCGGAGTTAACTTGAGCTGTGTGGGTGGAAAAACTGAATACCACTGAATGAACATGTCCAGTGATGCTGACATTGTCACTGAAGTGTTGTGAAGGACAGCTAGAAGTCAAGAGGGTAATGGTGGTTCACAGAGGGGTGACAGAGAACTGGAGTGTAGATTCTTTGGGAGAAAGGCTAAAATTAAAAGCAGGTTTAAGGCAAAACCAAATAGGCAGAGGTAGGTGGACTCACAGCCAGTAGATGAGAGATGGCTAGGGAAGCACAGATACTGAGCAGTTGGTATGGTGGGGGGTCTAAGGAGAACTCCACCATGAAGATTACTTAGAAAACATCAAAAGTCACCAGGCAGTGGTGGCGCACCCCTTTAATCTGAGCACTGGGGAGGCAGAGGCAGGCGGATCTCTGTGAGTTCGAGGCCAGCCTGGTCTACAAGAGCTAGTTCCACGACAGGCTCCAAAGCTACAGAGAAACCCTGTCTCGAAAAACAACAACAGCAGCAACAAAAAAAGAAAGAAAGGAAAGAAAGAAAGAAAGAAAGGAAGGAAGGAAGGAAGAAAGAAAGAAAGAAAGAAAGAAAGAAAGAAAGAAAGAAAGAAAGAAAGAAAACATCAAAAGTCTCAGATTCAGGGTTGTGGTTAGGACTTAATATCCTGATGGTGTTTGGGCAAAATAATCCTGAAATTAGGTGCATAAAACTGGATAGAAAGTGCCCAAAGAGCTGGACGATGGTGGCGCACGCCTTTAATCCCAGCACTCGGGAGGCAGAGGCAGGCGGATCTCTGTGAGTTCGAGACTGGCCTACAGAGCTAGTTCCAGGACAGGCTCCAAAGCCACAGAGAAACCCTGTCTCGAAAAACCAAAAAAAAAAAAAAAAAGTGCCCAAAGGCAAGTAGCAACAGAGATTTTTAGAATGAACTCTTTGGAAGACAGTGACGGCAGTTGAGAGTAGTGGAGCCAGAGAAAGAACTGAAGGAGTGTTATCCTAAAGGTGGGAAATAGAGAAAGAGATGTAAACAGAGCCACCTGCCATTCCCATGAACCTCCATGGTGGGCAAGGATTGCCGTTTAGGTCTTTTGGAAGGTAAAAACAACAACAAAAAGACTTGGTCATCTTCTCTGATTACTGCTTTTAATCTGTCATCTCAATTTAAAGCCTTTTCACCCATGGAAGAAATTTTGAAGAGATAAAATACCCCTAAAGAAAGGATAAGCCTTTAATAATACAAGGGAGAGGAAATCAAGACTGACTCTGAAAAGAGGCTCTGAGAGTTATACCATTTGCTATGGGGTTAACTCTGGAGAAGACACATTTGGCTACTATGTTCAGGAAGAGAAGGCTAGTTCCAGCAGTCTGGCCACACTGGTAGTATCTGAACTTGCAGAGACCAGGCCTGCCAGAGTAGCTCTGGCCAAAGAGCAGCTGGCTAGCCAGCCATGGAGAAAGTATTGGCACAAGGACTTGGAACAGCATGGACAGAGAGCTCATATGGGTGAGAAATTGGGGAAGAAAGAGTAAGGTTGAGGATGAAGATGAGTACAAGGGCCAGGAAGAAGCCAGTGTGTGAGAGGACTTGGATATGAAGAGACAAGAGCTCAGCAGGACTGTCAGAGACAGGTGCTTCCTGAGAGCTACTTGGAAGAGTGAGAAGGACATCTGGAAAGTGACGAGTCTTAAATGTGGAGTTCTATAAAGTGCTGTGTTACTGGGTCAAAAATAAGGACTGTTGAGTGATGAAAATGTGACTGGCGGGGCTGGAGAGATGGCTCAGAGGTTAAGGGCATTGCCTGTTCTTCCAAAGGTCCTGAGTTCAATTCCCAGCAACCACATGGTGGCTCACAACCATCTGTGATGGGGTCTGGTGCCCTCTTCTGGCCTGCAGACATACACACAGACAGAATATTGTATACATAATAAATATTTAAAAAAAAAAAAAGAAAATGTGACTGGCCTGGGGATGTAGATCAGAGCTAGAGCATTTGTCTAGTATGAGGCCCTACGTTCAGTCCCTGGTGCCACAGAAAGAAAAGAAAATACCTCTGAATGTGATAGACAGTAGGTCAGTTATGTAGGGAATGCACACTACTGGCTGAGAGATGTCTCAGTAGATAAAAACCCTTGCCATTAAGCCTGAAGACATGATTTCAATCCCTGGAAGCCATGTGGTAGGATGAAAGAACAAGCCCCAGAACTTGTCCTCTGACATCTACAAGCACTCTGGCACATGAGTGCATGCACATACACTTTCCAAATTGTTGGAGTAGGAGTGCGCTTATTTGTTCCCGGCTGTCCAGACTCCTGAAATAATCACACAGAAACTATATTATTTACAGTTTTGTTTGGCCAATAGCTTAAGCATATTGTTAGTTAGCTCTTACATCTAGAATCAACCCATTTCCGTTATATTTTACCATGAGGCACATGGCCTACCAGCAAGGTTTCAGCATGTCTGTCTCCAGCGGCAGCTCCATGGCTTCTCTGACTCAGCCTTCTTTCTCCCAGCATTCAGTTTAGTTTTTTTCCCACCTAGCTCTACTCTACCCTATCAGGCCAAGCCAGTTTCTTTAATCACAGCATACAGAGGGGAATCACATTAATTTAAAAGGCATCAGTGTTTCAATAGCATAATTCACAGGCAGCAGCTGGAAGAAGAGCAAGTGGCAGGGATTGCATTAGAGGAGTGGGAGAAGAGCGAGTGGGAGGTGTGCGTTAGAGGAGTGGGAGAAGAGCGAGTGGGAGGTGTGCGTTAGAGGAGTGGGAGAAGAGCGAGTGGGAGGTGTGCGTTAGAGGAGTGGGAGAAGAGTGAGTGGGAG